CACCCGCACACCATCACTGTCTGTAATATCAAGTCCGTCTGCCCCTCATCCCTGTCATCCTGTCTCACTGTCAAATTATCCACCAAAACCGGCTTCATAGTTCACACTCTGGCTTACAAGGAACACATACAGCAATACAAACTGGCTCTCTATATCGTATGCTCCACCTACTACTCTGGCATCATCCACTCCGGTTCCGTTAACCCCAAGGTCCTCTTCTCCACAATAAACAAACTCCTCAAACCTATGGACAATCTCTCCCACTCCTCCACAGCAGATAAATGCAACTCCTTCCTGGCATTCTACAAAGCAAAAATTGAGACAATCTACAACTAACTGGTCTCTTCCAGCCCCGCCACCCCAACCCTGTATCTGTAAATCCTCCACTAACTGACCGGTCACTCTCCTGATTCTCCCTGATCTCCCCCTCAGATCTCAATAAATCACATTCTGGCATGAAGACTCTGACCTGTGACCTGTACCCTTTCCCTTCCACTTTAGTCATGACTTGTCTCCCGGCCCTCCGCCCACACCTCCTCTCTGTCATCAACTCCTCCCTGTCTACTGGCTCTGTCCATCCAGCCCTCAAACTCGCCTCAGTCACACTAATCCTCAAAAAGCCTGGCCTTCACCTTGACATCCACAACAACTACAGACCCATCTCCAACCTCCCTCTTCTGTCCAAAATACTGGAACATGTTGTGGAAAATTATCTTTTTAAGCTCCCTGTGAGAAATAACCGAGATGAGAAACTTGTTAAAGTATTAAAGTCATATTTAATGAACAGACACTTGTAATAATAATTCATCTGAATGGATAGAGCTCTTTCCCCACAGTTGGTTTGGAGGTCTAACAACAATGAATAGTTAAAACAGTATATATGCACATTATCTCGCCCCCCCCCCCCCTTCGCAGATGTCGTCCTGGTCTTGTCATATCCCCCGGTGACACTCAAGTGGAGGCACGCTGCATGCCTGGACTGACATCTCGAAGTGGATGACGACACACCACCTCAAGCTCAACCTGGACAAAACCGAGCTACTGTTCATCCCGGGGAAGGGTTTGCCGCACCGAGACCTGTCCATCACCATTGACGATACTGTGGTCACTCCAACTCGGACTGCGAGAAACCTTGGTGTGACCCTGGATGACCAACTGTCGTTCTCAGCAAACATTGCATCGGTTACACGCTTCTGTAGATTCCTGCTCTACAACATCAGGAGGATTCGCCCCTTCCTCACTGATGAGACGGCGCTGGTGCTCATCCAGGCTCTTGTCATCTCCCGCCTGGACTACTGCAACTCACTATTTGCCGGAGCCCCAGCGTCGGCCATCAGACCTCTGGAGCTTGTCCAGAAAGCTGCAGCTCGCCTGGTGTTCAATCGCCCCAAGTTCTCCCACACAACTTCCCTTCTCTGTTCTCTACACTGGCTACCTGTAAGAGCTCGCATCCAGTTTAAGACTCTGGTGCTAGCCTACAGGGCAGTGAAGGGAACAGCTCCTTCCTATCTCCAGGCCATGGTCAAGCCCTACACCCCCACCTGACCTCTTCGCTCTGCTGCCTCGGGGCGATTGGTTGCCCCGTTGCTCAGAGGTCCCTGCAACAGATCGACCCAGTCACGGCTGTTTTCTGTCCTGGCCCCACAGTGGTGGAATGAACTCCCCACTGACGTCAGGACAGCGGAGTCGCTGCCCATCTTTCGGCGCAGGCTGAAAACTCACGTCTTCAAGAAGGCCTACCCTTAGCCTACCACTTAGCACATCTATTGTATTCATACTAGCTTATTGCACTTATTGTATTCATATTAGTTTGTGACACTTATTGCATTCGTTTGTTTCTGCACTGTACTTTGGCTCTGGTTTATGCTCTTAGATGCTTGTTTGAAGAAAGGAGATGCACTTGTGACTTCTGGTGACTACTTGTTCTCTCGAAAGCCGATGTTGAATACACTTATTGTAAGACGCTTTGGATAAAAGCGTCTGCTAAATGACTGTAATATAATGTCCTCCTCTGTCTGCCGATGCACCCACCAAGGCCAGGTTCCTAGCCTTGTTGTGGGAAGAGGGTTAGGTGGTGAGATCAGGATGACACTACAGCGAGAAGGAAATGCTAAAATACCTTTGATATGAGATCGTTTATCATTAGCTTTTAAATGAGTCTGGTTGGCCTCGTCTGCATATATGCAGGTTTTAAGCGATACAAGTTATAACAAAGAGAAGGTATGATAAAATTCTCCAACAGAACGCACTGTTGACCACCAGCTCAAAACTCACCTGGACTCGAACCATTTCAATCTGTATGGCTCCACTGTTCCTGCTTCCACACATGTCCGTAACCTTGGAATCATCTTTGATCAAACCCTCTCCTTTGAACGCACCGTCAATCACATCACAAAAAACGCCTTCTTTCATTTCAAAAACATCGCCCGTCTTCGCCCCTCCCTCTCCTCCTCAGGCGCTAAAACACTCATCCTCGCCTTCATCACCTCTGGACTGGACTACTGCAACATCATCCTGTACGGCTCACCCACCAAAATCATCACCAAACTACAAAACATCCAGAACTCTGCTGCCCGTCTGCTCTCCCACTCCACCAGAGACCACATCACCCCAGTCCTTCAGAACCTCCACTGGCTCCCCATACAGTTCAAGATTCTTCTCAACACATACAAAGCCCTTCATAGCCTCGCCCCTTCAAACCTTTCGGACCTCCTGCATCGACACACTCCCACCCGCAACCTCAGATCCTCTGCCGCCAACCTCCTTACCCCCCCTACTCTGGCCACGCATCGGACCTGGGGGGGACAGGGCCTTCTCCATCGCTGCCCCCTCCCTCTAGAACTGCGAGGAAGGTCACCTTTTCATCCGGCACCATGTCATCGTATGCGGTCATGAATGAGAACTGGATGATCATTTCATTGGTGATGGTGCAGTCTGAGACAGCGAAGTCCCTGAAGCCCATGTACGAGGGAATACCACACCTTTGACAGCGTTAATAATGCTGCAATTTCATTGGCTGTCATAGAGTTCCACCTATACGCGACTGGCCATGGTAGTAATTCAAGCAGTTCAGAAGCAGAATCTGATGAAACGGTCAAGAGAGCGAGTGCTAGTCAAATGCCGAGGGCTGAAATCCAAAATAACGGTTGGAAAGTCATAGTTGTGTTTGATGAGCATTTCCATCTCTTAACGGTGGCTAAAGCTCTAGAGAAAAATGAGGTAAAGTGAAGTATGCAAAGTACTAACAAGCAAATACTTGTATACGCGGTGAGTAGAGCTATCTGTCACAGTGGAGGATATTAAAACAGAACTGAAAGGAGGGAATGTGATTGATGCAAAACGTATTACTTCTGAAGTATGTGGAGAAAGAACACAGACGCTATCAGTAATGAATGAGTAAGGAAAGTTCTACCGGGTTTCTTCAGCTACTCGGTAACAGAGATCATTCCTCCAGCACAAAGATGCTTTAAATGCCAGAGAATGGATCATACTGCCAGCCAGTGTAAAGGTAAAGAACGATGTGCTAGATGTGGAGCTGATCATGCTTTTGGGAAGTGTGGGAAAGATGTGCTGGTTAAATGTTGTAACTGTGGAGATCACAGCTTTTGAGGGATGTGAAGTACAAAAGCATGCAAGAGAGATAAATAAATTGAAAGTACTAAACATTTCATAAGCAGTTAACAGTGAACAAGTAGCAAAGGAAGACAGTTCTGTAAGGAATAACTTGGGAATCAATAGCAATCCTAGTTCAGGAAGCAGTCAGACTCATCAGATACAATAGACCTATTAGTGCAGAGTAAAGGAGGGAACCATGCTAGTGGATAAAGTAAAGTTTGTTGCATTCATATGTAAAGTGGCTTACATTGGGTTAGAGCAAAATGATAGGAATGAGAGAATCAAAACAATAGTGGAAGCAGCAAAAGAGTACCTTAGTGTTTCAAGCACAATACAATAAATGATGAACCCTTTCACTTATGATTTGTCTTGTGATTAAACTAGTAATGGTACTTAACATCTGTAGTGACTTTAACAAATATCCATTTTTATCTTAAAGCCACTGGGGGGCGAACGGGAGAACTTGTTCGGACGTGTGTTCTATGCCACAAACATTTCACTGTCCAATGTCGATCCATTTATTCCGTTTGCACATTGACACGATAACAGAACACCACAGGATACTACATGACAGGATAGTACACCTTGACATGGTCAAAAACTGTTAGCTTCCCGTGTATATGCACTTTTATGTCAATGTGCCACCCAGTGTTCAATGTCAGAACTGCACATCGAAACCCACCCCATGTTTCCCTCAAAAGAAAACAACAAAACCACATTATGGCTCCAACAACATCTATCAGTGGAATGCCAGAAGCTTGATAGCAAATGAACAGGAATTTAAGAAGGTCATAAAGGATTTAAATGATAAACCAGACATTGTATAAATTCAAGAAACATGGCTTGGACCACATCTAGATTTAGTTATGGCAGGATGGCAGACGACATCAGTCTGAGTGAGAAGTGATGGAAGTAAATGTAAAAAGAAGATGTTACTTTTTATAGATTAAGGTTAGGACATACAGGACTCAATGCCATGTTATAAACACCATGAAAAAGACAGAGTGGGATAAATGTGAGATATGCAAAAGTAAAGAAAGTGTTGAACATGTGCTGATAGAAGGAGGAAGTTCAGTGTGGAGAGAGAGAGAGACTGAAGAACAGAGTGATAGATACAGGAAGAGAGTGGAGCATCAAAGGACTGTTAGAGACAGGGGACAAACAAGTTCAGTTAAAAGGGCTTTATTTACATTTATGAATGGAATAGGTTTCATATCCAGAATATAACTTCAATATGAAGTTTATTTTAAATTAATAATAATAAAATGATTGTGTTTAATGACAAATGTCATAAAGTCATGTTGTTAAACACTCCCGTACAGTAGGTGGCAGCATGAACCTTAAACGTTGGTTTGTAGTCCGCCAATAAACTCAGAAGAAGAAGAAGAAGAAGAAGAAGATTCACTAAAGCTATCCAGAGTTTGTTCCTCCTTGTTGTAAACCGGTTTCCCTCGTGAGTTCTACTCTTTTAGTCTCACAGTTCATCAGGTACAAACAAACAACCGGAGTGAACCACCAGAGCCCGCATGTGTCTGTTTAAGTGGACTTTGTACAAAGTCCTACCTCAGACTCATCTCTGTTAGCCACCAATGCTAAACGAAGCTAGCTAGCAGGAAATAGACGGAGACGCACCTAGTCGCACAGCGCTAGTCGGAGTCTCTGTTCGATAGAAACTAAACTGTGTTTTTTATCGACCCACAAAGTCCACATGAACCTGTCTGAGTGGACTCTGTGTTGTCTCGCGTCATTTAAAACGTCCGGATTGTCTCCTGGTGTCCTACGGAGCTAATGAGGTTAGCATGCTAGCAGGAAGTAGACGGACCCGAGCAACAAGCGCAGGTCAGAGTGAGCAAACCGTTTTTAACGGAGTTTGTTAACTCCGTTTTCACTAAATCACATTTTCTGTGATTTAGTGAAAATGTGTAAAGTCCAAATGCTGAAGAACGATAGCAGAGTATGAGGAGGAACTTTACCTTTAGTAAAGGTCATCAGGTACCCGTTATGCTGCGTTCACACCAAACGCGGCGCGAATTATTCGCGCGAGTAGATTACATACAAAGTCTATGCGCGGCGCGATAGACGTCCATCGCGCCAAACGCGTGAGTTGAAATTTTTCAATTTCGGCGAAATATTCGCGTTACGCCCCGACGCGATAGCCTATCAGCGTTGAGTTGCTCCCCCTGTCATCACTGACTTCCTGCCGTTGTTGAATCAGGAAATAAATCCTGTAGCCGTCTGTGTTCACCCAGAGGTCTACGATCCGTCATATCAATAGAGACCGGACCAAACTATGTGTGTGTAAACCATATGGTACAAACAATGGTACAAACTTCAGTCTCAATAGTGGCCTTTCCCCTTTGCAAAGAAGCTCTCCAAAAGTTATTTACTAATTGTCGCTAGTTTGCGGGCTTAATTTTTGAGGTCACGTGACCGAGACAAGCGTCTTGACATGTGTCAAGAGGCACAGGCGGATGAAATTGCAAGAGAATCCGGTCATTTTTCAAAATAAAACTTCTTTCAGACTCTGATAATCAATAAAACGGAAATAATATAATATTTATTCTTTCTGTGCGGCCCGGTACCAAATGATCCACCGCCTGGTACCGGTCCGCGGCCTGGTGGTTGGGGACCACTGCGTTAGAGTATTGAGACCCTTTACCAAGGTGGTGGCTTGATCCTCATCCGAAATTCGTTGAGTCTCAAGGTTTGTTGGTTGCAGTAACGCGATGCGTGAGACTGGATGGTGAACTATAGGAGAATATTTATTGATGCAGGTTGGGATGATGTTGCCATTCTCTACCTAGGCTGGTCTTGAATGCGTTAACTGAGGAGGTGCTGATTCTTGACTTGGGCTGTTCCGTACTGGTGGTGTTCTGCTTGCAAAGAGAGGTTTCCGTGGACAAGGCTGGTGCTGTACCTGTAGTCTCAGGTCGTGGCCTCTCGTGGTGGTGCTGAGGGATTTCTTGAACATACTGTTTCCACATACATTACAACATCTGTCAGACTGTACGCTGTTGATTCCTTTCAGTGTCTTAAATCTTTGAACCATGTCGGCTCGTTAATGTGAACTAGTCTCGTGGCGCGTCTCTGTACTTGTTCCAGGGCATCTTTGTCCCGCTTATGTTTGGGCGACCAGATGACTGAGGCGTACTCGAGGTGTGAACTCTCTCGTTCAAAAGAGGAGAACGTGCGACAACGGAAACTACTGGACGCTGTTTTCATCCCTCAGCTTCGGTTACACAGAGCAGGTTGGTTCTCTTTGTTTTATTATCACGTTAAACTGCTGACAAACCAGAGAGGACTGAAGTATTTACATCGTGCACTGAAGTATTTACATCGTGCACTGAAGTATTTACATCGTGCACTGAAGTATTCACATCGTGCACTGAATTATTCACATCGTGCACTGAGGTATTCACATCGTGCACTGA